AAAAAAGCAGTAGTATGAACGTTTTCTATTTATCATCTGTGGGATGACTTTTACAACATGGACATGTTCTAGACAGATGACTTACTTAATTTTGCAATGAAAAACTTACTCTTGACTTGTTTATAATGTAGATGAGCTCACTGACTATGTTTCTGTTACATGCCATTAATTCTTCATGACCTTTCCTTGCCCTCAATACTAGTGTATGAATGTGTGTAAATATGTTTTACATAGCAAAATGCTGCAAACAGTACTTTTCTCCTTGAAAATAGAGATAATTATCACATTTGTGTTGCCAGCAGTAGATGGGATTGGATTGATAAATGAGAACCTCTGTTTGTGGCTATATGTGTGCTATTCTACATCAGTAGCAATCAGGGTAAAATTATTTTTTGATAAATGTGGTCTTTCATGCTGGATACACTGTTTCTTTTTAAAAAATGTTTATGTATATGAGTGTTTTGCCTGCCTGTATATACGTACACCCATTTCATGCAACACCTATTGAGGCCAGAAGAGGGTGTCTGATCCCCTCCAGTTATGGATGATTGTCAGTCACCATGTGGGTGCTAGGAACTGAACCTGGGTCCCCTGCATGAACAGCCAGTGCTCTTAAGCACTGTGCCATCTCTCTAGTCCCTGGATATACTATTTCAATAAAAGAGCAGGCCCTTTGTTTGAGAACAAAGTTTTGAGAGGATTCTGAAGGAACATGTTCCTAGCAGTTCAGGTTTGCTCATGGCTTTTCAATGGATGCTAAATGTCAAGCTGTTTATATTCAGGCATAATTGTAATAGGGCTTTGAGTAGTAAATGCTGCAATGCTTTGGATTCCATTATTGATTTAAGAGCATTTTGATATAATTCTATCCCTTTGATTAGACACTTTTAAAACAGAAGCATTTTTGTTGTTTAATATTTAAATAATGTGTTCTTTGAAATTTAATATATGTATATAATGCATCTTAATTATTCACTTCCCACCTTCTCTTAGCTTTCTCACATTCCTATAAACCTCCCATTCTCCCTACAAATCTCTTTCCCAGATTCATGAGCATTTTTTCTTTGGTTTACGGCTGATTTAATTTAGTGAGGGCCTCTACATGAGCCTGGATTGGAACTATTGATTGGAGTATGGTGGGGGCATGTGTGGGTACACAAAACTGAAGGCAAATGACTCCCTGTCTTGGTGAATCTATCAGCGAATTCAACAATGAGGGGCAGGGCCCCCTGAGACCCTTGCCACCCATGCCTGGCATTGGGCCCATTCTTAAGAAGACTCAGAGCACGCATAGCAACTCCTGTGAGGTTGTGACTTCAATGGTTGTGTCTTTACTAGAAATAACATTTCTCAGCCCTCCTCTCTGTCTTTAAGTTTTTATGTTCTTTACACTCTCTCTTCCACAATGTTCCCCTGAGCTTTAGAATGCTCAACAATCACTTATTTTTTATGCCTGTCACTATAATCCTGGAAAAAAATCTCATGGTGGGGAAACCCTAGGACCCATAAGCTAAGTTTGACATGTCAAACTGCCGTCTATGTATTTATGTTTATACCAATAGATAAATGCTACTGTAAGCCTTAGTCAGAAAAACCTCTTTTGGCAATAGATGCTGATTAACCACAATTTTTGAAGGTGCAGAGAATAAGAGATTTGGAATGCTCTGCCTCAAATGGGACACCTACAGTATCCTCGCTCCACCCAAGGCTCAAGGAGAACCTGTGGAAAAATTGTAAGAGGCAGAGGTAGTGGATGACTATGAGGAAGTGTTTCTGAACACAACAGGGAATGTGCACATGTGAACACTCAGCATTGTGACTACATGCACAAAACCTGTGTAAACTCAAGCCAGACAAATTCTAGTATGCAATGGGGAGGTGGGCAAGATGCCCTACCCCTAGGTGAGGAACTTTTGGCAGGTGATAGTTGCAGAGACGGGGTGAGTCAGTCATCTTTAAGAGTGTGGCTTCTGTTTGTTTGAACATGCTCCATTGGATGGCCACACATCTAATAGTCTGTTGACAGCACAAGTTTGAC